TTGAGGGCGCGACTGGGCCATTTCTGACAATGTCTCCAACCATTGATATGGCCCCTCTCGGGGTCCCCATCCAGGAAGACGGCAATGACCAGCGCAGCTGAGTTTGCTGGTGATGGCTTTTATACTTCACTGCCTCTGACTCTCTTCCACCTTTCACGTGGTTGTGCGAAAAGAGCCCTTCGAGGATTTCGGTCGACTGGCATACGCAACACGTGGCCAAGCCGGCGCAACCTATGCGGTGTAATCAGTTCTTTTATCGAGGGTGAATTATTTCTCCCGAATACCATTCGACGAACTTCAGCCTTGCTGCTCCGGTGTTCCCACCAGATTCGGGCAATGCTCCGAAGACATCGATGGTCAAACACTGAAAGTGATCAGAAGTGATTTCTAACAGCACTTATGTGACTTTCCTTATGAAGCTCCTAAATCAGACATCTTCATTGTAGCCGGTGAATTGTTCAAACGGAATTGATATGAATAGAAAGTTACGCATGGTTTCCCAACTTTGTCTGAATCCATTCTGAAACTTGAGATGTTTCGTATAATGAAAATGTCCTTGAACCAACCTGATTGTTGGTGGCGGGAAATTTTTTGTTGAGGTTATTCTTCAACCCTAATTTTTTTCTCCCCGGCCGTCTCTTTTACCCCGTCACAGCGAGGCCATACTTCACCACGGTCTCAATCTCCTCGGTCCTTCTGATGGATATATTGATTTTACTGGTGCTTCCAGCACGCTCATGGCTTCTTCGTCCCTTGCGTTCGACTCAAGACATTCCACAGTGACGAATTCTCCTGCATTGCAACGAATCTTCACACCCACGTCAGACTCGTCCTTCAGTGCCGCATCTTCTTCCGGACCCATTCTACCTTCGCCCAACTCGACGCTCTCTGAGACAATCCTTCATTTGGCCCGCGCTCCAGTATGGTACAGCCACTTTTTCCTCACCGATTGGTCGCAAGTCCCCAGTATGGCGACGGTTTCCAGTGAACCCGAGTCTTCTCAAGCAGATCAGCCAATCATCGATGAGAACCACTCACAATGGCCACTGGAGAACGAAGACGAGCGTGACAAGTTGGCTGAAAAGAAGCGTGAGTTAAAACAAGAGTTCTGTTTCATCCACCATCATCGGTGTGAGAAAAATCAGCATGGGTCAAATGCTCATGTGTTCTCTTTTCAGGGGTTTAAACTTGATTAGACCCCGACAAACTCCAACTGCCAAACCGGAGCGCATATGAAGTTTTCGCCGTTAGAAGAGGCTTGGACAGCTGGATTCCTTGCAGTGATTGAGCTATTGACTCAGTCTATATCATCTTAACTGATGGTTACGTGTCGATCCACTCCGAGTCTTGGCTTTTACTGTCAGAGGTGAATTTACCAGACTTGCCTCAAACAGCTCATAGAAGGATTCTACTGTCATAGGGTTACAAGAATACTGAGGACCATGTAGAATTGTCCGCAGATCCAAATATGTGCCGTTTGAGGGTGACCCCAACTGTGTTTTACCTCTGATGACTCTTCGACGTCTTGACCAGATAACGAAGTTACCTTCTGGCGCTTCATCGTCACCTTCACTATTTGCTCCTCGTGAAAGGTTTTTGGATGGGCAGTAGCTTACACTGTGTCTGGTGCCAGGCTCCGATCACCAGTTTTTTTTTCGAACGCAGCCATTCGTAATACATGGTGTTCTCCTTTCTTTCAAGGTGCAGTTCAACTCGATATAAGCCTGGTATCATTCCCACCTTTAATCCGTATAGCGCACCACGTTTGACATTTCCCTTTGGGAGGGTTGCTTCCTATGGATGATTGGTGATGCAATGGGGTACAGACACGTACCCGCCGCAGATGCCCCATTTTTTACCCAAAGAGTGCTTTGTACGGGCACCATCGTTTTCACAAAATCCCTTCCTAGCTTCACATCATCCCCAGTAAGAGATTCGACTGCCAATCTGATTGTGCAAAGTCTTGGATGACTCATATGTTGTAAAGTAACATATCTTTTCGAAAAAGTTTGGTGACAATCAGTTGATTTATTGCTGGGCAACGTTTCGGTTTTGAAACAAAAACGTCGTCAGGCCAAGTGACTGGGTTCCGAGGTCGGTCGAGATTTAAGGCGGAAGGAGAACCAATCAACCGAGTCAAGCTAAATCTCTGTTGGGTGTCGGCCGAGGGAGTTTTGTGTGTTAGGGTGATTGAACAACTATTGGGTGGATGTTTGGGTCCAGCCTAGGGTCTAATTCTTCTGGTTCGGTCCATTTGATGATCCCTCTCGAACGTCGTTTGAACCTTCTGTCGGTCTGTGTGAGTGCGCTAGTGCTAAGATAGTTGTGTAAGAGGGATGCTGTGACCTTTGGTCGGTTGGGGTTTCCATCCCCACCCCCCGTTTTTTTCTAATGATCCTAAGTGGATTGACAGCCACGCCGTCACTTGTCAACTCGGCTTATCTAAGGCCGCTTTCCATACGCTCGCCAGCTCCACACCCTCGATTCTATTCACGCTGTGACGCTTAGTAATTTCCACCGCCTCGGCTATCAGCCGCTGTGGTGTGAATCAGTCCCCGTCTTAAAACTTCCACATTCTCCAGATCTATTCTATGTCCCGTGTCTAAGGCATGTAACGCCATGGCTGAGTCTTTGACCAACGTTTGGTATTCTGCATTCCTTGGTGGTTTGTTTATTCTTCTTTTAGGCTCACCAATTCGGTTCCAAATATTTTTTACCTGATTGTAACGTATGTTTGTTCCAAACGATTGAGTTCCGACGATAGAGTGTCATACTCCACGGGGAAATTCCTGAATGCTTGGTTTGTCACTGTCTATTAGGAGAGACTAGATTTGCCAGTGCACTCGGATTAATCAGTAGCGTTCCAAACTCCTGTTGCCAATTAACTTTGCCCTTTCATATACGACGTGATTTGTCTATGAGAGCATAGAGTACAACGTGACTGTGGGGTGGTATCACTTCGCAGACTACGCAGCCAAAAACATGGTGGAAGCCAAAGGTGGCAGAGATTTCCTCAAACAAAAAATGTGATTCGGTATTGCTGCATTCAGTAAAACCAGGGTAACCTTGGACTTTTTCAAGGTCCTTTTGTGTGCGCTACTGGAACCTCCGTCGCTTCGAACGCCCTAGGGAACCTGGGTAACTTGATCTTCTCAATCAAACATGTGCAGGGTGGAGACTGCCCATGGTAAACAAACTCAGCTGGGTGGAAGACTTCAATCTTGCAGGGTATGGTTCCCCGACGGGGGACATGAAAAGACCCGGCCGAGCCTCACATTCCTTGGTGTTCGTGTATACGCACTCCCAAAGCACAACCATTGCCTCGTACTGATTCAGGTACGCCAGTGAACAGTATATCATCATATCCAGTGCTCACTTGTTCCTCTCTCTTTTGTATGTCATCGTTTCGATCGTATGCTCAAATCGGCCGCTAAAATAGTATGCCCGGATTTTGAACGAGTGCTAATCCTTGTCCTGACTAGCCTCACGCTGGCTGTTGCATCGATGAAAACGTGAAATATGTCATTTTTATCTGGGCATAATCGATTCCCGTATGAGGAGCTGAGCTCCAACTAACATTTCCACACTCCCCACAAGTGCATCGTCCTAACGACACTCGAACTAACCATCATACGTCACTAAAACATACTGGAACTTTGTAATGTACTACTCATAGGGTTGCTGAAAATCCATGACAGCCCACCGACCGGTTTCGCCCTTTTTGGGGCTCATCAGGTAGATACCGGCAACCTTATGTTCTACTTGAAACTGGCACTTTATTGCCATACAACCATGATGGAAGGAAGCCGCCTTTTAAAACAGTGGAAGGATGAGCCAAGTGTAGGGAATTAGTTCTAAGAAGCAACAAGGAAACGATCATGACTGAGGTGTCTGTACCTTTGGATGGCATTAAAATGAGCATATCTAACCACCATACCAATTCAAGGCCCCATCGGCGGGACTGGCTCAACGTCTTTTGCCAACCTCACCCAATATAAGCCCAGAGCAAGACAGGTGAAATCTATCTTGACAGAATCTGCACCACTAGCTTCGATTACTTGCTCTGCAGGAGTTCCAGCCATGTGTAGTCAGAGTCATGTGGGTCCCAGTCAGGAAGTCGCGATGCTCCCACAACACTTAGTTTGTTTCACGTTCCCATGTTCGCCAGCAATCGCTCGGAACCAGAAAACAGAGCTCTCTTCGGTAGACGCTGGTCGGGCGCGTGGAATGCACGTCCTAACCACCTTCACGTGGTTATTTTGAAGTAACCTCGAAGTGAGTCACTCTGGATTCAACGTCCACGCTCTTCTTCCTGGACGGTGTCTGATAGGAGGGCTGAGTATAGTACGCGCGCATGGTGTCGGCCACATCGATCAAGCGAAATAAAATGCTAGTCTCTGTTCCATCCAACTAAAACAGTGAACCACATTGAGTCACTGCTTCTCAAGTTGCGGATACGTGTATGCTCAACGCTCGTGACCAAGCTTGATTTTGACACACGAGCGTCGTTTACTCTGAGTGACAATGATTCACACGGCCTCCAATCGATAGCACAAAATAGTATTGTACTAATGACGTTGAGCGGTATTTTCCTCAGGATTGATGACATCATTTCGGGATTGACTATTTTTTGCGACTAATTCATCCACTGTTATACAACATACCTAGAGCACTGGCTGAAATGTTTCAGAACTTGATTTGTGTCATCGCCCTGCATCATCATCATCGACAGCATGACATCAGTGTTCAACACCGATGCTTCACTGCCGTAATTAGTTGTGAATGTCATGGTTCTACGAGGAGTGGGATACTGCCAGGGCGCCCACACCTAGACAGGAGGACGATTAGGGTCCTCAACCAGAGCCTTTGGCTCAAAAGCCTAACCGCAAGGCAGTGGTGTTTGGCAGAAAATGCAAATGCATTACCTTTTCTACGGAACAAGTCGCCACATGTTCCAACCCCCAACCTGGAGGGCCAGGAGACTGTGTTCGTCAGACCTCTAACCATCGACCAACCTGGTATGAGAGACTCTGTGAGTGTCGCGGGGATACTCCCCAGTATAGATCAATGGGTCGATGAGGTACGCAAACCGCCACACCACGGCAAGGTCCAGTCTCTTCGTGACGGTCATCGCCCTGTTGGTTGCGTGAAATGTGAACTGTGTACACGAGTGTTTACAGTGCAAGCTGGCGCTGTAGAGCAAACCGCTTCACAAATTCCTAAGTAGACGCACGCACATCAACTGGACTGAAACAGACAGGCTTGTCCAAAGAGCATCGAACTAGTCAGCCAGTCAGTTTCAGATGGCGAATCGATGCAGATCACCTGGGGTGTCACCTACTCGGTGTGTGGTCTGTCGGCGTGCAAAATTAGCCAAAAAACAACGAATATAACCGACTGAACATCGGAATGCACGTGGATTTGAACACATTCTGTCTGGTAGTTTAACACAAGAAGCGCGGGGATGGAAACTCAGAATTAAACCAATGGTGGTTTGATGGATATCCAGATAGCTGTTACGGAACTTCCTGAACTGAAATTGATATTCTTGGTTCTTGGCAATGTTCTCCAGGCATCTAGTACACTCTCTGGTCTCGTAGCCCCATTGACAAGTAAATACAGGAGATGTTGAGGCGAGATGGTTCTGTGGGTAGAGCGCGAGTTTACTGTCCGGAAGATCCATTGTTCGAACCGACCTCTGCCTCTGCAACCTGGCATTATCCCAGCCCTTCTGGTGGCATGACAGTTAGGCACCGATCAACTGCTACTGCTGAACGTTGAAAGATGAGTGTCAAGACCAACGCAGTCATCATTTTGGTGAAAATCCCCAGTAATTCAGGGTGATTGATCATTTTGAAGCAAAATAAGTCGTGGGCTGAAGTCCCTCTGGTCAGCTTGGATCTGCTTCCGTCTTTGCCTATCATATCGAACTACGCCGATGAACCTCCACGCAAAATAACTATTGTCACATGTGCTCTGCGTTCAGCCGCATGTGCGACTAAATGATCGTCACAAGGAGACTGGTGGCCCGTTGAATTATGTTGAGGGTGTCCGCAGAGTCTCTCATACCAGATTAGAGGTTTGACCTACACAGTTTCCTGGCCCTTTAGGTTGGGGGCTGGAACATGTGTGCCGACGTGTTCCGTAAAAATGGTAATATATTTACATTTCCAGCCAAATCCCGCTGCCTTGCGGTGAGTCTTTTGAGGGTTTGTTTGAGGACTCTAATCATCCTCCCGTCTAAATGTGGGCACTCTCGCAGTATCCCAGCCTAAGTGCAACCGTGAATTACTGTTCTCCTTGACGCGCTTCTCTCTCAAGGAATGCTGTATTCTCAAACTTCCGGACCTGTGATAGTACACGGAGAGCATTCCAAAAGCTTTCGTTCACAAACCGGTATCCATCAGGGATGTCCACACTCTTCATTCCTATTTAACTTTGTGATCAATGAGGTAATGAGACGAGCATTGGAACGTCTTCAAAACCACGATGTCCAAATAGCCCATGACGCAAACCTTGTCGATCCGGAGTACGTAGACGACATTCTTCTCGTCTTCGTAGATCAGGAGGAGGCGCAGGTGTTTTTGGATGAACTGGCCAAGGTCATCCCGTCCTTTGGCATGCACTCTGCACCCACAAGGTGTGGACATGCAGTCAATTAATACGCCACTTCCTATCCAGAGATAGGCACTAGAAAGTTGTTGATCGTTTTGCGTTGCTTCGAAGTTGTATTAATTCTATTTGTAGTGTGACAGATGAGGTCAATTCACGAATCTGCAAGGCTCGAGTCACGTTTGCCAATTTGAGACACCTATGGCGTCAAAGTGGTGCATCCCCGAATCTTAAGGGACGTGTGTACTAGGCTGTAGGACGGGCAACGTGGTAGTATCGTAGCCTTCATGTCATGGCACCTATGTACCGAAAGGATGTTGCAGCTGAGCGATTATTACTGTGGTTGAAGACGACTTTAAACGGCCACTCATAGTCCACTCTAAGGACTCGATATACAACTATGCTACTTGCTTATGGATCTTTCGGCATTGGGATGTATGCGTTTCCACGATAACGGTTCACTTTATTGGACTGTCTCACTGAAAGCCTTTCACGATGACCTGCCTACGGCAGACAACTCCTAGTTACGGGCCTCGAAACATACCACACTAGTTCATAATCGATCGTTCCAATCCGGGTTACCGTGCGCTTTCTCCTCGTACCACCTGACTACACTTTGTCGCTTGGATATTGAAACGTTACGGTGTCGGTAATGTATTGGAATATTGATAGCTCCGGTGCCTTCATTGGTAGTTCATTAGGTGGCTATTGATCTGTTCACCGAGCTTAGCACTTGACTTGCAGACGTTTCACCACCGTTATAGGCTATTGGGTCGGTAGTCCTCCTCTTCTTGCTTGCGCTTGGATGGTTTGCGAAGAGCAGTCTTAAGCTGTAACCTGACTGGCATGAAATACAGACCACAACGCAACACAGATCACGATCGGACCAATCAGATTCCAAGTGAGATGATTATCCATTGCCTATCAGGTCATATCGTAACGTCACTCTTTGCAAACTCTATAAGCGCAAGGAAGAAGAGAGGAACTATCCCCCCCAAATGCGTACTGATGAGGTTTTCTCAAAAGGTGGGAAAATGGCTGCAAACTCGGCGAATAGACCAATAACCACCTGATCAATTACCCGCGGTCACCCGTCTTGTCTAGAGTGAAAGCCAACCTGGCACTCGAACTGGTGCCCGAATGAGTGCACTGGTCACACATATGTCACAGAGAGTTGGCCGATAGCTGCGTATACTTTGACAAAATGTGCTCGTGAAAGAGCCTGGAATGTAGACAGGCAACATTCAAGATGATGAGTGTAAGGTAGTGATTGGTGGCAATCGAGTTCGAACCATTATACCTTCTTTGTTTCTAGATTCGAACTGATTTGCACTTTCGCATTAGTTTTAGTATCCGATCTCGCGTTTTTAGTTCTCAGGGGGCGAGATGGCACAGTGTTACAGGACAGGTAGTCCCCTTGGCTTTTAAAAACTGCTTGATTAACTCACATTCATCAACCTTAGCGAAGCTCACTTACTTGCTTTACGTTCGGCTGTAACACCCTTTCGGTGCCCAGCTGCTGTGCCACCCGAAAGGAAGCACGAGGACTGGGATACTGCCAGGTTGCCCAAGCCTAGACAGGGGAAGTCGAGAGGCCGATGTCGGGTTTTTAAACCACGGACCTTCTGGTTAGTAAATTCGCACTCTAACCACTGAGCCGTCTTGCCCCACTCGCTTTTGGTGCCGTGGAACTTGACAGAAATCCCCTTAGAGGGGAAGTCTACGTCATCTTGTTCGTGTTTTTCTCTCAAAAAATGTCATTGGTATCCTTCTTTATTGATTCAGCAAAATCTCGGTGTATAGTTCCACCCCCGGCTCCTTCGAACAACGAACTCAATGATGTACTTCTAAACTTCGTGCAACACGTGCGCTCATCAACTGCTCCGATGTGTGACGCCTCTTCAACGCAGCGACCTTCGGAGACATCCATTCCTGTTTCCACCTCAGAACCATCATCCTTCCAATCGCCTTGTTCCAAATCAGCTCCAACACCTCCCCCAGAGGATACCGAACGTGGATTCCTCCGGTGTCTCCTTTGCTCCTACAAAACCAATCATCCAGATCATCTGACCAGACACCTTTCTGGTTCGCGAAACACCGTATCGACCAAGTGTGCATTGTGTGGGCAATCGGTCTGCGTTCAACAACCGGCGCTCTGTGCGGCAAAGGCACACCTGCTCCTCCATCTAGGTTATTACATCATGTGCCCCAACTGTGGATTCACGGTGAGTGTATCTCCTTTTGCCTGCTTTTGTGCATAATTTCGTCGAGTTAGCCTTTTGGACAGTCAGCCTCGTGATTGTGTCGGCCTGAAACATTCATACGTCTATCGACTGAGCGTTGTTCGATGCTAACACATTGGAGGTTTGGTGTATACAATTGTTAGCGTCCATTCTTTTCCGTATGGCACGATCCATCAGTCTAATTGCTTCGAAAATGTCCACCAATACGAGTAAGTCTCAACAAGACAACCGAAATCTCGGTGGACAAAGCAGTTACATCGCAGCTGATGTGGAAATAATATGTGGACAGAATACCAGGGATTCTCATTGCAAAAATGGTTACGTATACCGTCAGATGTCCAACTCAAAAGCGACTGGGGAAGACGGCGCCACGTTTCGCTTGTTTTTCAGCAGATGGTCGAGCCGAAAACATCTGTTCAACCAGAATGCTGTGTTTCGTGGAAGATTGCATTGCAAAACCAGCCATGAACTGTCGATCCTGGTGAAAACCTGTCTGACATTGGTCGACACAGTAAGGATTATCTTCGATACGGGCACAATAAATAACCTGTGACGCCGGACAACTCAAGTAAAGGGTGCCCATTATACGCACAATGCTCTCAGCTGCAAAACCTTTACAAGTGGAGCAAAACATTTTGCGTCAAAGTGTTGCATTTTGTTGCGTTTGTACTCAAACCAAAAGCCACCCTAGTCTACGTTCATGCTTTTGCAGCTCACCAAATTTCATTGTCCACTGAAGCAATCACACTTATGGCGGAAAAATCTGGTGGAATAATTTCCCAGCATCTCTGAGACCCCAGGATGCCTAAATGAGGCTTAAAAGTTTGGACTGGTACTCTCAACTCAATTGGCCGATTGTTTAGTCCATCAGGGACACTTTCGAAAATTCAATTCCATTGTGCGAATACTGAGCGCCCATGTAAGGGGATTCTTTTGAAAGCATTGTATTCATACTTAGTCTAGTGAAACAATGGTTTCAGTCTAAATGTCATGGTGATGGCAAAGCATGATAGACGCTAAACAACCATTTTTGCGACTGGATGACGATGCCAGCTCGGGCGTTTTATGCTCATCCGTTCATCGGGCGCATGTGGAATTGGAGTAACACGTTCACCTCGCATGTAGAACGCCCGGAGGTCATTTCCGGTAGAAATTACACAGCGTTGTTGGGCTTTAGTCAGAGTGAATTTGGGTTCCCAACCCTTTCCGTCCTCATTTGGTGTCAACTAACCGAAACAATCGCCCCCGAAATGGACAAAGAAGGGTTCGAACTAGACTCATCTGGGCACAAATACCACACATTTGAGTGTTATTTCAATATGAACCCACCATTAGTTTTCGCCAGAATGTGAAAATCACGAACAACAGACCATTTCTGAGTCTGGATACCCATGCGCCAAGAACACCGTCAAACGATTGCTATCTACTGAGCCGATCACCAATACACCGTGTTGATCTAAACGGTTTCGCACATACAGGTTGTGTGGTAAAGTTGAGACTAGTAGACTAGGACTTATCCACAACTCATCGGTAAGTTAATCACTCATCCGAGCCTGTTTTGCACAACTAAGTCATCATCGTCATCAGCTGTAAGAACCTCATCTGGCCGAACAGTGGCTCTATCTGCCACGATAATTTGAGAAAGTGGGGTAAATAGCTACACACTGGAAGCGGTGTCTGATATCATTGATGTCTAAGTACAGCGGTGTCAGTGTACTTTTCACTGGGGAGGGCAGCTGTGAATTGAATGCACGAACAATATTGAGGGCGTGACTGGGTTATGTCTGACAATGTCTCTAGCCCTGTGATGTGCCCCGTCTCTAGGTCCCATCCAGAGAGACGGCAAAAACTGGCGCAGCTGAGTTTTGACACAACTGAATGACCGTTATTGGTTCATAGAGTAATTTTCCATTATGAGTGCTAAACAAACTCGTGTGCTGTTTTGACCTAACTTCCATTACGCCTTGTCAACGTAGACTGCTCGGATTAGACAACAGGATGTCTGTCGGGAATTTTATTCAGAGTTCTCATGTTTCAGGTTAATAACAGTAAACCTGTTTCTTTAATCAGCTGGTTCGCTGCGTATTGTGTTTCCGTACATCATATATCTACTCCGTTCCACATTCCACGCTCTATTGAACAGCCTCCTCCCCACCTGGCTCCCGATGCCGCGGAACTTTGCATGCGGCTCCATTTGCGTTTCGTCTGTTTTCACTTTAACTTGCTGCAAGTGTTTGTCTGCTCCCGCTGCCAACACGGGCGCGGAAAGGCGTACAATACCATGGCTCATCTGTGTCAGCACATTTTCGACAGCCACACTCAACGGCAGCACGTTTGCCTGTGGTGTGCTAGGCAGTCGTCGAACGACTCGACTGCACAATCCGCCTCCACGGGAGTTTTGAGAAACACGCCGGGTGCCGAGTCTGGTTCGGCCGCATCTAGCACAAGATCATCAGACCCAATCGAACATGATGACATCCATAATCAACCATCACGTGAGTCCTTCCCGTCCTGGAAATCTTATCTTTTCACATCTGAGGCATCTTGGATAAATCTGTCACATGACCATTCGACTAACAGCTTCGAAGGTTGAAGGCTTCATCTTACAAATAGAGCCTAATCTTTTCGCACCGGTTGACAGCTTTTAATCAGTTATCTTCAGGCAGTTGTTGGGTAATTGTTGCGTCATTCTGAGCTCTCCAATCAACTGTTCTTTTTGCGGTCTTCCCTCGAGCGTTCATGCTTTCGGTAGTTTTCCGATCCTTACTTTCGGTCAAATTGATGCTCGCCTGGTTGATTCACTCTGCGCAACTTGTTGAGTTGGTGCCGGTCGGTCGTTTTCACGATGGTATACTTCCGGTCTCATCTGACTCCGCTTCCTGATTTGGGCATGGTAATAAGCCTAGACAAACCCATCTGCCAATTCAGATTGCGCCCTATAAGTGAAGCCAATCTAGGCTGAGAAGCCGGGAATCACTGTGCAGCTGTTCCATACTGATTCGGAATCACGAGCAGTGCGGAACTCCAGGGAGTCTCGAACCTGCTACCATTCAGCAACCAGAGGTTGATCAGAAATACGATTGTCTCGCACTTAGATAGGCGGCGAGATGGTTAGAGCGTGAATTTACAAACCGGGAGGTCCCTGGTTCGAACCCGACCCTTGCCTCTCAACTTCCTCTGTCTAGGCTTGGGCAACCTGGCAGCATTCCAGCCCTCGTGCTTCCTTCGGTTGACATGGCATTTGGGCACCGAGAGGGTGTTACAGCTGAACGATTCGGCTCACCGATTGTCTGCGATAAGTGTTGACTCTTCCAGCTCACGTCGCTTGCACTGGAAGACGTTCAAAGTTAAGTAGTGCGGTTCCTCTCACATCATGTAGCGTGCATTCGTCGCCCTTAATGGTCTTGTGTGAGTGAGAGAACTGTGGTGGCAAACAAGTGTTAGCATCAATATCTGTTTTACACAAGTATGTGACATCGAGTCGGTGAGAACACTGACGTTAAACACGTTTGTTTGTTGGTCCAGGCAGTTTTGAAATTCCGTCCTCAAAAGCACCATCAGATTGATAGGATGTAAAAAAAGTCGATTAAAAATAATGTACCGCACTTGAAATTTGTCATTTTTTAGTCCGTAATTTGGAATTCTGCTTTCCTTGTTCATTCGACTAAGGTCCACCAGCTACACTCAAATCATTTAAGCAAGTTTGCCGCTAAACTGAAGCTATCTCTTCCGGTTATCTCTCAAGCTAGGCGACTTTTCTGGAATATTTTAGGCCCCTGCGCGGCCTTCTCAGAGGTGCATCCATTACAGGGACTAGCCCACCCGTGTCCGTTCTCTTTTTTGCCCCTTATTCTGCATCGTTTTCGTTTCAGAAAATATCGTTGACAGCTCTTCTGTTCCTCTCAGTCGATTCGGTCCTCGTTATACCACGCCAAAGGATCTACTGGCCCATGTTAAACGCGTTCATAAGCATGTCCTTTTGTTCTCATCTCCTGAGAATGTCATGGCCACGAACGGCCAGGACGCTTTGGACCAGCTTCCTGGCGACCTGACACACGGGAAACAATCACAACTACGCCACTCGCAGTCGGTACGCAGCATTGACTCAGTGGATTTGACCAAATCCACCAACGGGGAATTACCGATCACAAATGGGCCAACTTCAGTTTCTGCTAAATCTCGTGGCCCACCACCCGATTCGACCGAATCCGACAAGGCCACCACCGGTCAATCGATTCATCTGGTTCCGGCCGTGGACTTCACCTATGTTCACAGTTGTCCCGACTGCGACGAAGTGTTTGAAAATCGGGATACATTTGCTCAACATTTTCGGGTAGGTGAATTGCACAAGAAATGCATATTGACCCGTTTTCCTGTATGGCATCGACCTCTGGTCACACTAGTTGTGCCAAAACTATCTCGGTTTGCGTTTGCCCGTCGGGCTCGAATGAATCGGCCCATTCGACTGCTCGGCAGCACTAAATCGATCCGTACTCAGTTGTATAGAACAGCACAAATAATCGTATTGCTTAATGTATGAATAAACATGGTGTACAAAGTATATAGAACCTCACTATGATGATGTCCAGATGATGGTTCGACAAACAGCGATGCCCTCTATTTGGCAAGATACACACTGCCGTGGAGACAATGGGATCAGTCCCAGGATCAGTCGTATCATGGTTAGCAGCTTAGAATGAGCACTTGCTTGTTTCAGCCCATACGGTGACTTTTATTTTTATGGGAAATTTGGTTATTTTGCGTCTGTGCGGTGAATATTCCTGACTTTCTACGGTCCGTTTGCAGGGCCTTACGAGCACCGAGCCAATTAGATTTGGGAGTGGTAATCACAAAGACGTGTTAGCCCAAGTGGTTTGAGCGCGAATTAACTGACCGGAAGGTCCGTGGTTCGAACCCGACCGCTGGCTCTTGACTTCCCCTGTCTAGGCTTGGGCAACCTGGCAGTATCCCAGCCCTCGTGTCTTCTTCGTGTGGCACGGCATCTAGGCACCGATGCTACAACTGAATGATTTTTTTTATCACGAAGGCAGAACATGACTAGTCCTGAAAAGTAACGCACTGTGCATCGATACTTGTGGCTTCCCGTGTAAATTTTGTACGGTTAATACTGAAGCTTGGAAATTTACACGATTCTAACGTACAGCCGTTGATATTCTCATCGAGGTTTGAGCGGGGGGATCTACATCACAACGGAATCTCATCTCACACCAGTGTCAAGCCGGATAGTCCGGAAAGCATGACGAGCCAGCGAGTGTAGATCGATCGAGCGGTCCAGTAAAGAACGGGACGCAATCTAGTGAAGCTGATTGGTAGAGATGGTGATTCACGAAATTCACTACCTAGTTCAGTGAGAGCCGCGCTCGAGTGGATTCACGTGCCCCAGATTAGGTAGTACTTGGTTGGCCCCGCGGGATTGCGAACTTTCATGTGTGTACGGTGCTTCCAGTGTGAGCATGTCGACATGTGTGCGGGTGCACGTGCGCACGTCCGTTACGTGGCATGCCAAGAGTTTCTAAATAAAGTACGGGTGGCGAAAGCAACCTGGCCATTACCTACAAAGTGATATCATCCATTTTAGGTGGAAAGAATCCGATGATTGATGTAGATTTTGAGTCCCAAAAAGTCGGCAACGATATCACCAGAATCTCTGTTGACTACATGAAAACATGGAATGGTTGCATCCGCTTTTCAGTTTTCGACACCCTGCTCCAACCGTTCAAACTGATATTCTTGTGAATTCCGGGATGGAGTTTTGAGGGGATGTGTCATCTGCTGGCCACAAGTCCTATAAATCTACTTGCTCTACTTTCGTACTGATGATGAAAATCACAGTGGTCCAACAGTCTTGATGAAGTCGCGATTCCATAGTACCCTTTCAGAGAATTTTTGGATACCATCAGTGTGCATACACCCCTTGTAAAGGTGAATAACAGCGGAATCCGGCAGTTGTGACTTTGCTTATTAACACACTGGAGGTTCCGAGTAGCGATCATATCCTCATGTGACTTTTGATTTTGTCTTGCTTGGAGAAGTGTTTTGGAACCTCTTAGCGCGCTCGATTTCTCCAAGCACTGCCCTTCGCGAGGTTTTCTGAATTCTTTTCGAACCGCCTCGAAGAGTAGTGTAGAGTACCGGTATTTTCCCCAGCTTAGGTCTCTATCTGAGCCTCCCAAGCTAGCGTTCACGTCGAATCAAACACCGACGGTGCACAAGGTACACTAACGCCCAAAACGAAGTCAAAGACACTTTGGAAGCACTTTATATGTATAATGTAAGCGGCGACAACTTTCTGGAAATTCTGACGCCTTCTGGATGCGCCATTGGCCACTGGAATTCGGCCAATCCTGCGTCATGATTGGCTGTCGGGTCCAGACTTTCGACTAATCAGGTCTCGGACCGATACCGGACCGGCAAGCGTCCCGAACTTCTGGCCAATCTTGCACGGGATAGGCTTGTTGGTCGTTGCAGCACCTGACTGCGGGCGGTAAAGCGTAACAAGTAGTTTCCTAAACTACCTCATCTGATGAACAAAAATTTGGTGGGCTTATCTCTACCTAAATGGACTCTGCCAACTGTCCGTCTAAATGCAAGCTTATCGTATGAGTTACTAGCTGAAAGCTTAGCTCTTCTGCCACCGGAGGATTTAACCCGTCTGCTTTGCTTCAAATGACTATACATACTGTTTTCATATATGCTGGTTTCTCTTTTCACGCAGGCATCTCACTTCTCGAACTGCTCCGGTGTCTGTTGCTACCGTTGTTTTGGTTCTTGCAAGCGATTATCCTTCGACCTGGCTGAATTTCATGAACACTTGGTGACATGTCCGAGTGCGCGGGATTTGTTTGTGGCCACTTTCGCACATAGTCGCTCAGGAACAGTCCGATCCGCCAATCCTGACCATCGATCGCATACCGGTGATTGTGCTTCCGTTCGAGGGCACAGTCATCCCTTGTGTTTCTGTCTTCACTGTGGCATCGGAGCTCGCCGGCCGGGTCCTCAACCTCGTTTTTCAGGTTTGTTCACTGAACGAATATCGTCCTTCATCGTTAATCCCCGCACACTTGGCCCGTCTGTCTATTGTGCACGTGATATGCCAGCTGTCTCCCCCTTGGCTTTACCTACTGAGTGCATTCTTTTCAAACATTCCTTGTTCTCGGTGTCTCCTCATGCTCGTCTCACTCAGTATCACGTATGTTGCGTTCCATCTGCGTACCCATTAGTCATAGATTCCTGTGGATAACTTGCCAATTGCAAAATCGTGTACCTGAGAATCAGCCTGAGGCTATTTAGAAGGGTACGGTTAAATTCGGGATGACTCAGTCGCAGAGTCATTCACCCTTAATGGTCTACTGGCTCCGGGTATCTCAGAATTCCTATCCGCAAGTCAGGGAAAGCTTTATACAATCAGAGGTAACCTAGCAGCTAAAACGTTACGTTGATACCAAACAACCGTGCTTCAGGCCTTAACAAACGCGAGCAGAAATAAGGATGCTGCTAACTGGTCCGAAGGCCAACCGGCGATTGGTTGGATGTGTCTCTCAGGGGCTGCGGATCAAACGAAAACATGCCTGGATTGGCCGGACTGCCGGCCAATCAGGATCGAGCATTTATAGGTGGGTGCTTTTCGAAGATTCTAGCGTGACCTTGTGCAACATTTGTCGATAACCCTATAGGTACGGTTATAATAATCTGCCTTTACCTCCATAAAGGACTGTCTCAAGTTAGCGTGGCTTTGGATTTACCATGGTGGACGAAGCAGATGCAGAAACTTACCACAGTGGGAACTGTCGTTTGTCCAGCTATTTCAACTCTATTCACTTTCGAGCTTGAGATAGCTCAGTGATTGAGACGCGGACTTACTGATTGGAAGGTTCGTGGTTCGGAATCAACCTCGGTATTTTGACTAATTCCGTCTGGGTTTGGGCAGCCTGACACTAGCTCAGCCCTCGTGCTTCCTTTGGGTGGCAGCTAGGCTTCTTCTATGAACACGATGCTGGCTATTCCTTACTCCACAAATTGCGCTCACGTTTCCAGCGACGAATGCAAACGTGTGTCAGTAATATCAATGGTTTTCTCAGGGTAAAGGAGGCTAATATTCGCACCCTTCTTTTTCCTGTTTAACAATCAGTGTTCTTCTCCGAAAGGCAGCTCGTTGTCTAAATATTCGGATTACTGTGGTCTATTTGGTGTGGGCACTGCACTGAGCACGGGTAATGAAACTACTCTCCTCGACTGAATTTCTGTGAACAGCCGATTCTGTGCACTGGTCGGGTTTATTAGAGTCCTCAACCGACCATTCAGAACCCGGAAGCTATTTTTTTTTCACTAAATATCCCCGTAGAAACTGCAGCATTGTTAAGCACACCTTTTACAGTTATAACTTCCTGGCTTCTGCGGATAGCAGAATACACGCATGAAAGGTACCTCTGCAGCAGATCAGGTGGAAATATAGCGGTGACCGCCCCGTACAACTGAGCACTGGTTATCATCTGTCTTCCACAGATACAAGTTTCCAACACAATTGGGAGCTCGGGTTACTTGACGCCTTCTTAACCGTAGTCAATGGGGCACTCAGGTAGATCACAGCAATTAGCTGGAGGTTGTGGTCTTTGGTTCACCACCGTTAAAGCCTCTGTTCAGGCTCCGCAAGTTCGCGTGGCCTGCGACCGAGGAGAATGCCATTCGCTAGTATGATATGCGTAGCTTACAAGATGCAGGCCCTTTGAAAGGTTTTCCTGCGACAGTTGGCTAGAAAATTCTCGGACGTGGAACAAACCTGTCGGCCGAATGGACAGTGATTTGGAATTCAGAACTTTATGAATTCGGCATCCCACCGCTGCGGTTAAGTTCAAGTGGGGGCTGATCTGTCTCCCTAATCTAGTCGAGGGACGTGATTCCATCGGGCCGACAATGTGCTTCGACAAGACCTCCGAAACGAGCGTTCATCATCATCGTCGACAGCATGACATCAGTGTTCAACACCGATGCTTCACTGCCGTAATGAGCGTTGAATCACATTTGCAAGACTGATTGAGAAGAGAGGCGATTAAACCTAGTTTGATAGGTCAGAGAGGTGACGACGATTGAAAACACGCGAACTCTGATCCAACCGACCGACGTCAACTCAACCAGAAAGCCGAAGGATTAACTACCCTTCCGTGTATATAAGGTCACCCAAGTGACTGCAAGACGTCTAAAGCAGTATGCACCAACCTGCAATACTCTGAAAGTAAGAACAAAATTTGTCTGCAAACCACACTGTGGTGGCTGCGACAAACCTTGTTCGTCAGCGTGGCAGCCAACTATCCCTCAGCATAGATGAAAAAGAGATTGCCAGCGCATGGCATGATCCAAGATAACCTTTTTTGTTCGTGACTATAAAGAAGGGTGTGTGCGCACTTGGGATACCCTTCACATGCTTGACTATACAAAGCCGAAAGGGTGTCGAGGCGTGGTATTTGGTAGGATAAACCAGTAAGTAAATACAGCGACATCGATCTAGTCCATACGCCCCTAGGAACTAATGGAATTTCGTAATAGAGGAACGTTGATGTGATGGAAGCCGCACAGTAAATGGACCAATCATACCATGAAGACCACCATGCAAGGAGCCTTCGCATGAATCTCAACAAGGTATTCAACGAACCAATCAGGTGCAGCGTAATAAGACCACAACGCGACACGGATTCCGGACAGACTAACCGAGTTGCACGAAAACCACCCTGGGACCAGCCAATCCCGATGGTCTCCGGGAGCCACATAAACGCGAGCAGTAGCACACTGGTAACGTTTCTAAGGCTAGTGACGAAAGTTTTGAATTTCCGTTCTTAAGGTCAACAAACAGGCGTGCCGCGTTCCTCAGCTACCCATCTTAGACAGGTTATCATAAATCATGTTTACCGAGCCACATAAAAAAACATACGTGGCTGACAAATCAACCAGTGCATGATGGGGCCCTGGCAAAGCTGAACACTGAACCAATCGCAGCAGTGTGTTAAAGCCTTGACATAGTTTCGTTATGACTAGTGGTCTACACTTCTTTCAAGTGAATAAACGTTGGAAAGCCAAACTCAGATCACACGCCCAAATCCACAGGAACATGCCCCTTTTGACCGCATTTCTGCGCTCTAAATCGCCTGTTAACAGTCTTTTTCTCGTCCCATTCTTCCATGTAGTAGGTACTGACTTGTTCCACCGAGAGGTCTTCCAAGGCACGTTGTGATGGCTTCTTCGAGTTATTCTGAAGCATTTCTTGTTGGGATTAGGGGTGATCTTTTAAGATTACTGCGCGAAATTCATGAAAAACAATCAAATTAGGATAAACGTTCCCTTGAAGACATTTTTTGTCACGTTCTGAAGGGGTTGTTTGCTTACACTGGGAAGTCACAAGTATTTTGGTTTCATTTTATTCGATTCACCCTACCACCTGTTGCGGTGACTGGCACCTCCTTTCCATTCTCTTTCCGTTCTCAGGCGAAGATGATTGTTCCACCCCCAAAAGTTCCGTGGTCCCTGGTGATGAGAGATCCAACTCTGAACAGACCCCAGGAACTCCACAGGCGACGGACGTCGCCATCGGCGACACTCTGCCGACTACCATCAAGGAGCCGGTGTACGATGCACGCTATTTCCCCGACTTGCACAGTCTGCACCATCACGAATCCCAGTTTCACTTCACTCCGACCAGCAGTCAAATTGCTTGTCCTTGGTGCGGACGCCGGTTGTCGTGCCACAGCACCGCGGACATGCGCTTCACCATGCATCACCTAAGGAGTCATACGAAAAAACACCCGTAAGTTTTTTGGCGACTAGGATGAACCTATATCTGACTAGACTTCTGCCTCTCATTGGTTCGTTTCTTTTGAGTTCCCCTCCTTATTCGTTGCTCCATCTCACAACTACAGTCTAGCTTACGACCTTCAGCATGCATTGTTTCCTTATTTCCTTATGTCCTTCTGGAACCTACATATAAAGTTGTTCCGTTTGTGGAAACTTTTACTCATTTGGGCATGTCCATATTTGGGAGTGCAAGCAAAGTTTCCGGCTTATTTCGTTTGCGATCTCAGGACCAAATATCGCTGAAGCTGAGGAGACGTGTACACGGAGCCAAGATAAAAGCAGCCTCACTTTATGGTCGCGATCTCTAGTCAGAAAATCTTAAACACCCTTAAGCACTTTTTCCATGGTGTCCTTGCACTATATCGGGGGTTGTCCGGCCACAGCATGTCTGCGACAAAATTCAGCATGAACGAGCTGCGTGGTCAAGGACCGATGTGTCGTCTTTCGTACCTCTGTTGAATGCTCCCATGTGACGTTCGACACCGTGGCTCTGTTCACCACCTTCTTGTGGCCAAAGTGAAAGGGGGAAAATGGGTGTCAGACTCCATAACCCGATTGACAGTCCGTTGGTTGTCTGTCTTCGGGAGCTCGCCAGGCCCTGATACCATAAGAACAACTACTAGAACGTAAATCAGCTCCGATGCACTCTGTAACGAATCGAAATGGTGCACTAAGCATGATATGTAAACGGCCCATTGTCAGGCATGCCGCTGTGCCAATGTCGTGAGTCGTATTCATCTTCCGTAAGGATGCTACTTCGATCCCGTGGATGTCGTCTTACTCCATCCTAGAGCTTTGATTTGTCCCCCCCCCCCAAAAAAAAAAAAAGAAAACATGGAATTTGTAGAAAGTCTCCTCCGTTACAATTTCTCTGTACTCTTTAGCGAAGCAATTCTTTCCTCATTACTGAATACTAGTTAAGCACTGCTGATATGTTGCAATCGATGACGATGGAATTGAGTTCCGACTAACTCCGAAGATAGGTTGCGCTTGATAACGATCCGAAGTACAAGGAACAAAAGAAAAGAATATTCGCCTTTTCCTAATGGGAAATATCGCACACCATGTCCTGGCTGACAGGAATGCCATCGTGAGATTTCCGGATTAGTCGTCTCTTAGGGAGCATCAACAACCCCTGCGGATCAGACTCAACTGTTTTCTCATGAGAAACTAAGGATTACCAACTTGTTGTGTTGTGCGGTGGCCGGTTACGACTGCACTGAGCCTGTCAGACTACGCGATAGGGAGAAGACAGAGAACTGGGGACACGGCTGTATTGCCAGGACAAAACATACAGAGCGTCTGTGTAAATATATAGGATGACTACTTGGCCAAATATGGTCGTTCACTTGTTCGCTCCGTACAGCCAATGGTGGTGTTCCGGTCGTGAACATTCTCGGGTCCACTACGCTGGTCGTGTGTTGCTAAGCCGTGTTAGGTGGGAGCCGTGTTTCGTGGGTGCCGCCAACTCACCTACTTTCCGGACGTGTCGTACCGATGGTGACCTTGGGGATGCGTCACTCCCTGCACATGTACTCTTTCTTCTGTCTGGGCGCACCCTGACACAACTACTTTGACGTCCTCCCGACATCTGGGTTTTAAATGAATTCTCGCGAATGCGTATTCGCTTACTGGGGCGGAATGGCCCCTACCGTGATGAGGTGCACTCCATCCGGTTAACCTGTCTGTCATCCCTGTCATCTACAAGCAGCCGCTACGGACATAAGTGGTCAGATGAACGAACAATGCGCATGTATTGATCTAACTTGCTTTCCATAGAGATAACTTTGCTGAATTACTGCTGATCCCTTGGCAATGTAATATGCTCTCTAGCGGGGAGTGGAGCTCTGTTTACCCTTGCTACATGAGGACGATCGATGCTTGTTTACTGAACTTGGGACTATGATCTAAGGCCAAGTTTACCTGTATTGGTTATCTTTGGTATTCACTAATAGTGCCGGCTGATGAAATGTCAATCGACCCGTCTGTGTTGTGATGAAATGTCTTTGTCAACATTCCTTGTATTGGTTCCAGCCCAGGATCGAATCATCGGTGCTGCGATCCACCCAATAAACGTTGTTATGGCTGAATTCTTCAGGTGACCTGACTACTGGTGGACTGTTGTTGAATTCCACAGGTGACCTCATTGTGAGTAGTTGGTATTTGTTTCCCCCAGAAACAGCATATGCAATTCGTCCAGGTGAATCAGAAGGGATTTCGCGCAACTAGGAAGACTTGGCGGCAAACCGATGAATGAAATCGCTGCGGGAGCTATGTGGAGATCACAAATATCGAAGAAGAGTTTCTCTTCATACGGGTTTTCGAAAAATTTAAAACATTTCGAAACCGACAACAAGGTGTGTAGGTTTCAACCAGCAAAGAGTGGAGACAGCATTCGGCCCAGATTAGGAACTCATCAAAACGGGCAGTGCTGACTAGTGGCTTTAGCACACATAACCGTGTTGGGGTTTCACTGTCCACGTTTTACACTTCATCGTGTGTTATAGCAGTCCCGTATGTGCTTCACTCCAACTGTGGGTTCGATTCTGTCGATCGGTCACTCACTACACTTTTCAATAGTGGAAGCTCATGGACATAATCCGGTCCGCCTATTCACGTCATACCTCTGGGCGTGTGAGATTGCACGAGCTGAGGAGCTCTGCAAAAGATTTACTGCGAAAATGCTATCTGGCATTGTCATCCACTCCGCAGGCAACCTCTGAGCAGTCTTCAGATCTCCGGCATTCAAATCATCGCCGGCGAGAACTTCGTTTGTAGGGTATGCAGACGACGTATCCTTATTCTTGGAAGACAAACCGAAAGCTTACCACGATCGTACCATCTTCCGGTGTATTCCTAAGAAATGCAAAGAAGGTGCAGTCTGTGAATGTATCTGTCGCAAACACTAGAGGTTGTGACGAGTTTTGCATACCTTGGTAGTTGTATTAGCTCTCATAAGGCTTGTGCAGGAATCACGTTCGCAAAGTTCGTCACTTTTAGTCTCAAAAACGCATGTGGCTGGGTCTCAAGAATCGCTTGTGGCGGTGCGGCCAGTGTTGTTTTGCAGTTCCGAGGCTTCATCCCTACCGTCGGATGACCTTACGCGTCTTCAGGTTTGTGACCGCCGATGTGTGTTATCTGTTCCTGACTATGGATGCCATCAACCATTTTGGGTGAATCAAGTACTCGTAAAAATGTTTAGTTCGAGGCGGCTCAACCTTGTGGTTTAGACGCCGCCTATCAAGAGGGCTGTTGCCCTCTGTACTGCAAATTGTGGGGTGCTCACAGCATGACTTGACGAATAGGTGTGTGAACGCACTTACAGGGATCTTCGGCGCAGTTTGTACATTCGGGCTTCCGATATTTGGCCCCGAAAACCGCCCCTACAGACCTTGTAAATTGTAGTGCTTGACCAATGTCTGTTTTCTTGCAGTTTGTCTGGAGGTTCGGAGGTGTGAGTGCACTCAGAGGTGGTTGCGGTAGGTGAGCGCAGTTTCTGTTCGTTCTTTTCCTTGAAGATAACCGATTAGACCGTGTGGTTGTACGGCAGAGAGATGGCTGAGTGGTTGGAGCGCGAACCTACTAACCGGAAGGTCCGACCCGACGTCTGTCTCCCAACTTCCCCTGTCTACTCGAAATGTCAATCGACCCGTCTGTGTTGTGATGAAATGTCTTTGTCAACATTCCTTGTATTGGTTCCAGCCCAGGATCGAATCATCGGTGCTGCGATCCACCCAATAAACGTTGTTATGGCTGAATTCTTCAGGTGACCTGACTACTGGTGGACTGTTGTTGAATTCCACAGGTGACCTCATTGTGAGTAGTTGGTATTTGTTTCCCCCAGAAACAGCATATGCAATTCGTCCAGGTGAATCAGAAGGGATTTCGCGCAACTAGGAAGACTTGGCGGCAAACCGATGAATGAAATCGCTGCGGGAGCTATGTGGAGATCACAAATATCGAAGAAGAGTTTCTCTTCATACGGGTTTTCGAAAAATTTAAAACATTTCGAAACCGACAACAAGGTGTGTAGGTTTCAACCAGCAAAGAGTGGAGACAGCATTCGGCCCAGATTAGGAACTCATCAAAACGGGCAGTGCTGACTAGTGGCTTTAGCACACATAACCGTGTTGGGGTTTCACTGTCCACGTTTTACACTTCATCGTGTGTTATAGCAGTCCCGTATGTGCTTCACTCCAACTGTGGGTTCGATTCTGTCGATCGGTCACTCACTACACTTTTCAATAGTGGAAGCTCATGGACATAATCCGGTCCGCCTATTCACGTCATACCTCTGGGCGTGTGAGATTGCACGAGCTGAGGAGCTCTGCAAAAGATTTACTGCGAAAATGCTATCTGGCATTGTCATCCACTCCGCAGGCAACCTCTGAGCAGTCTTCAGATCTCCGGCATTCAAATCATCGCCGGCGAGAACTTCGTTTGTAGGGTATGCAGACGACGTATCCTTATTCTTGGAAGACAAACCGAAAGCTTACCACGATCGTACCATCTTCCGGTGTATTCCTAAGAAATGCAAAGAAGGTGCAGTCTGTGAATGTATCTGTCGCAAACACTAGAGGTTGTGACGAGTTTTGCATACCTTGGTAGTTGTAGTAGCTCTCATAAGGCTTGTGCAGGAATCACGTTCGCAAAGTTCGTCACTTTTAGTCTCAAAAACGCATGTGGCTGGGTCTCAAGAATCGCTTGTGGCGGTGCGGCCAGTGTTGTTTTGCAGTTCCGAGGCTTCATCCCTACCGTCGGATGACCTTACGCGTCTTCAGGTTTGTGACCGCCGATGTGTGTTATCTGTTCCTGACTATGGATGCCATCAACCATTTTGGGTGAATCAAGTACTCGTAAAAATGTTTAGTTCGAGGCGGCTCAACCTTGTGGTTTAGACGCCGCCTATCAAGAGGGCTGTTGCCCTCTGTACTGCAAATTGTGGGGTGCTCACAGCATGACTTGACGAATAGGTGTGTGAACGCACTTACAGGGATCTTCGGCGCAGTTTGTACATTCGGGCTTCCGATATTTGGCCCCGAAAACCGCCCCTACAGACCTTGTAAATTGTAGTGCTTGACCAATGTCTGTTTTCTTGCAGTTTGTCTGGAGGTTCGGAGGTGTGAGTGCACTCAGAGGTGGTTGCGGTAGGTGAGCGCAGTTTCTGTTCGTTCTTTTCCTTGAAGATAACCGATTAGACCGTGTGGTTGTACGGCAGAGAGATGGCTGAGTGGTTGGAGCGCAACCTACTAAACCGGAAGGTCCGACCCGACGTCTGTCTCCCAACTTCCCCTGTCTACTCCTGGGCAACCTGGCAATATCCCAGCCGTCCTGCTTCCTTCGGGTGGCATGGCATTTTAGACACCGAAGAGTTCCTACAGCTGAACGATTGTCATTATTTTATTTATGTACGGCAGATGTATCGTCATCAGTGTCATCACGAGTGTTAGTGTTTTTTGTTATCGCTGGCAAGAGATGAGATATTCACGCAGCCGGTGGAGCTTCCGCACCGGGTCGCCCTGATTCATCAGACAACAGTGACCATTTGGTGTCAACGTGGGGCTCTCTTTTTCTCATTCTCTGTGTTATGGATGAGCGAGTTTTTAACAGTTCTGCCTTAGGCACACTGTTTTGACTCAAATGACGGAGCGAACTTAAACGCCGGTGAAGACTGGCAATTCAACTTCCACGTTCGCTGGTGTCATCAGGTGAGTTTGGTTAAATTAGCCCCGTGACCCTTTGGCCATTTGAATCTAGTCACTCTGTCACCTCTCTCTTGGGAACCACCAAGCGATTTCCGGTTCTCATTTCAAACGGTTGTGAGTTCCGTTGACTAAGGAACATGTTGTTTGACGAATTCTTGTCACAGTTCCTTTTTCGCACTCCTTGCGATTGCATCCCACTGTCTTCAAATGTTCTTCTCCATTGCATTTCATTCCTTAGGTTTGCCGCATGGAGTTTGGAGCGCACACGCAAGTGGAACCGAAACGCTAAAGGTTAGTGACCCTGTGGGCATTTTCCCGAATCGACACACACGGGATGGGAAACTTTATCGATTATAGTGCGCTTTGGTTGCACCTCCAATTGGGACTGTATTGCAGTGTCAGCTGATGCTGGTGGAAGAAAACGTTCAGTTCAGAAAATGTACAGTCATAAAAATAATCTCTTTGGCCATTTTTCGCGTCCGTTTCCACTAAAAAGCTTGCTCAGTAACCGAACCCACAGTGTGACTTGCTTTTGTAACCTGTAGCTTTATTCCTCAGGTCACTCTGATTGGGCCCTGTCTTTCCCAGGCTAAAGTACTTTTTGTATCGTAGAGCCTTCTTCACCCACCCATATATATGATGGAGACGAACCTGGAGCGATTAGTCCATCACTTGACAACGAAGCGTGAAAGCCTTTGCCAGTCAAACTCAGTCCTTTCCTATATCGGGGACTCGGGGATGAGACAAACCAGTGGTTAGTGACCAACCGATATGACTGTGTCAAGCAGCTAATAGCGGCCTTGCATCAAAGCAATTCTCTTCACTTCGTAGCTCTTATCCCCTACCACACTGGAGGAACAGAACCACCTAAGGTCAATGAACTGACCGAGGAATCGCCTCCAACGTCCCCTTATTCACCTTATCATCCTCGGTGAACGAAGCTGTGAAACCTAGAAGAACTATTGCTGTTTGGTGCGCGGTTTGTGACTGATCGACATGAACCCTTGGTTCCAAATTGATCCTCATGCTCTCTAATTTGCACAAACAGACTATCAATTCTCAGTCCATTTGGTGGAGGAGTGTGGGGCGAGATGGTCCAAGTGGTTAGAGCGCGAATTTACTGACCGAAAGGTCTGTGGTTCGAACCCGACCTCTGTCTCTCGACTTCGGCAACGTCTGTGAAGGAGTCTCAAAAGCGGCAAGTTGATAGATGTCTGT